ACCCTCCACCACAGCTCCACCCACTCCACCCTAATGCTCTGCCTTCTCCGCTTCTCTTTGGATGGCTGACCTCATCCACCTTCACTGTGGTGGTGCACAGAGGCAACATTACAAGGACCTGTTGTTGTGGTGAGACGGTGCCTCCGTCTGAATCAGAGTTCGTTAAAAACATAAATAAACACCTGCAGCTCATTAGAACTGAAGGCGATGTGAAAGTAAACAGAAATGTGCAGATGAAAATCAACGGCTTGTTACCTTCATGGTGGGGGGGGCGGTGCGGGGCGGAGAGGGGGGGGCGTCAGCCACAGGAACATTGGAGATGGTGAGGAGCTCCTGTTTGCTGAAACACAGGAAGAAGCACGAGTGAGTCAGGGTCACGAGTCAGAGCACGCCAGCCAAACGAAGCTGTGATTGGTCCAGCAGCCACACCACCCAACAGGTGAGTGGAAAGGTGAGAAATGTGTTCAGCAGGAGGCTGAGCGGTAACTCCTTTGCTCTCACCCAAAAGGCTTCTTCAGCTCTAAAGTCCTCAGTGGGAGCAGGTCACCGTGTGATCACGGGTCACAGTGTGAGTGGGGTTAAATCACCTGCAATGACCTCAGGACTTCGTTATTTATATTTATTACTTATAGTTAAAAGTCACAGATGTTTGGTGTGTAACCAGCTCCTGTCCAGGGACTGTTTTTCAAAACGAGAGAGTAAACTCTTTCAGAAACCAATGTAAATGCTTTTACTTTGAAAAGATTCTACAGGAAGTATGCCGGGCTCTGCCTGATGGGTGTCGAGGTCGATGTGTGAGGAAACATTTTCATTTCAGCTGCATTTATTGTTTCACTGTTTTGTAAACAGAACAGACGTTTTCCATGTTTACACAGCCAATCATCACAGCTCTCACCTCTGACTGTGGCGCGTTTAAAGGGCGGAGCCTCTGCACAGGTGCGTCATCTATGATGTGACGCGTTACACAAAACAAATCTGGACACACTAACATCCACACCCTGGACATGGACACACACAGACACACACACACATGCACAGACACACACACACACACACACATACTGTGCATGTGTGTGTGTGTGTGTGTCTGTGCATGTGTGTGCATGTGTGTGTGTGTGTGTGTCTGTGTGTGTGCTGTACTTCATCATCAGCCTCCACACTGTATTCAGCTGCACCACCCGACCGGGACACCATCAGTTTTCTTCACCTTCAGGCAGCGCTGCTTATCAGCTCGCCGTGGTTGCCATGGTTGCATCAGGTGCCCCCATAAAGACCAGCTTGACTTGGTTTAAACTTTTTGGGGCGCTGCCATCATAGTGCATGCTGGGATTGTTGATCTAAACAGCCTGATAACTTGTCATGTGACGGCAGTTGAATCTTGCTGAGTCACCTTCAACCATCTGGACGCTGCGATGACTCATATGAGTTTAAATATCGCCGAGTTGAATGTTGATCCGCTCCAATACTCAGGCTCACAGTAACACTGAGATCAATAACCACACACTGAGACCTTTGACTGAAACAGCAGCTCAGGTTTAAATACTGATACACAAAAAGCTGCAGTTCCTCTAACGTCCAGCAGAGGCTCCGGCAGCCCGCCGCTTACAGCCTGACATACAAACTGGTTCCTGCAGATGTTTCCACCTGTTTAAATTGTATTAAGGCATAAAGTTTGCATGATTAGGGGCGTGGCCTCTCTGCCTGGCAGGTGGACGGTGACACAGGTGGCTATAGCTGCTAGCTGTTTGCTAGCTTCACCTGACTCTGGGCTGTGTTTGTGCTACTGGAGCTTAGTGACATCATGTGACCAGTAATATGGCCGCTGGGAGGTTAACGTCCTCCAGCTTTGACCTCCAGTTTATGACTCGGAGGAGCTGTTGACTTCCTGCTGAGCCGAGGCTCAGCGAGCCTGTGATCCCTGCTGTGGGGGCCGGATTCACTATCAGACCCACTGTGGGTTTTGCTCCGAGGTGTGGGGACGTCTACTTTCTGGCCTCCGTCCCAGCCCTGTAACAAAACGCCAGTGTTTGTGGGTCCTTCTCTCTGCGGCGTCCTGCAGGTATTTCTGGCTCTGAGCTGCGTTTGATCAGCAGGTTGAGTCACCGTGTTTGTTGTTGTCGTGGTGACAGATGGCCGCCGCCTCCCTGAGCCGGTTGGAGGACCGTCAGCCTTTCACCTCACAGATCAGAGTGGGATAGCAAACAGTTTGATTTGGTGTGAGATAAATGACATTATTGAAGGAGGGTTTTTGCTTCTGTGTGCAGAACATCAGAGCTGCTGTCGGTCAGAGCAGACGGCC